AGGCGTTGAGCTGGGCCTCAGAGCTCTCTCACCTGCGTTTACTGGGGGGTTTTCTTTCCACTGAAAACTGCTGCCTGTTAAATAGGGTTTGGGCTCTTGAAAAGTTTGCATATTGTGAGTTTTCTCTCCAGCATCAATCCTTGATGCCTAATAAAATCTGAATTCTCTCTGAAACTTTGCTCATGGGCACTGTTTCCGAGATTGCCTTCTGTACCAGTGCACCTGAGTATGGGGTTAAGCTTCTGTCACCCATCCTGGCCTGTTTTCATCTGTGAGGGTATTTCTGTGGGATCATTTCCTTCTCTAATTTTTTTAAACTTCTGTAACCCTTTATTCTAATGAGTGTATTTTTTCATAAAAATAGAATAGCTGCCCCCTTTTTTTTTTAATGAAGTGTTGTTGATAGACAATTTAATATTTATTTTAAGTATACAATGCAGTGGTTCAGCAGCTACCTGTATTATTAAATCCTCACCCCCACTAGTGCAGTTACTATCTCTGTCAACATAGGCAGATGTTACAGAATCATTAACTGTATTCTCCATGCCATACTGCCGTCCCCGTGACCAACTTATATTATGATTGAGAATTTTTCTGCCCCTTTATGCCCCCTCTCCCTCCCCTCCCACTCACCCCAACCCCTCCCCAATGGTAACCACCAGTCCCTTCTCAGTGTCTGCGAGTGTTCTGCTATTTTATTCATTTTAGATTCCACAATTAAATGAAATCATATGGTATTTGTCCTTCTCCACCTGGGTTATTTCACTGAACATAATACCCTCTAGGTCTATCCATGTTGTTGCAAATGGTAGGACTTCTTTATTTATTAATGGCTGAATAATAATCCGTTGTGTCCCTACACCACATCTATCCATTCATCTGGTTCACTGCTTCTTTGTGTCTGATTCTGCATCTGGGTGGTCTCATTCCCTTTGGTAGCTCTGGAGCCACAGAGTCAGGCCTGCCAGGTGACCTCGGTGAGTTTCTCTTTTTTCTGTGTGATGTCATTTCTGGGGGCTGTCCTGCTCCAGGCTGGATAGTTGCTCTGTAGGCCCCCTGTATGCGTACCTGTCATCTGGGACTTGCCACCTCCTGGCCTGTGCCTCTGTGTGGGAGCAGGGGGCTCAGAAAGGCTGGCTGCGCCACACATTTCCCAGACATGGGGTGCCTCCCAGCGAGCTTCCCTAGACAGTCAGGTCACCCTGGGGGAGTCCCCTCTTCTGGGGACTGGGGAGGGAGCACCACACACTGTGTGTGTGAGTAAGTCGCTGTCCCTGAAGTTATTTAGGGTCTTCTTTCAGTCCCTGGAGTTCTGGAGTTTACCGTGAACCCTCTTGCTGTGGGTTTTTAAATTTTTTGCTGATGCCCAGCCAATTGCTTTAGTCTTATTTTTTAAAAAAATGAAACAGTTTACTGATAGATGAGTTACATGCGGTAAATGAACCTAGTTCCTTGAGTTTTGAGAAGTAACTGTATCTTTTTTAACATTCATGATCAAGGTAACATTTTCATCATCCAAAAAAGGTCCTTTGAGGCCCTTTGCCCAGATAACTACTGATGTGTTTTCTTCAATAGAGATCAGTTTTGCCTTTTCTAAGTCTTGATACACCTGGAATCATGTAGTATGTATTCTTTTGGTTTGGCTTCTTTCACTGACACAAAAGAATAATTGAAGCCGATCCATTCACTGCATCTTTCAGTAGCAAAGTTCTCTTTATGCTCAGACACCGCAGCTCATCCACCAGCTGATGGGTACTTGGATTGTGTCTAGTTTTTGTCTATTAGGAGTAAAGCTGCAAGGAACATTTATGTACTGGTCTTTATGTGCAGATGTATTTTCATTTCTTTGAGTAAATACTTAAGATTGTAATTAATTGCTTGGACATATGATAAGTAGGTACTTAACTTTAGAAGAAACTGCCAAAATGTTTTCCAAACTGATGGTACCATTTTAAACTCCCACAAATAAGAGCAGAGAATTGCAGTTGCTCCATACTTTGCAAACATTTGGTAGTCAGTCTTTTAATTTTAGCCATTTGAGTGGATATGTAGTGGCTTCTCATAGTGGTTTTAATTTGCATTTCTCTAATGCCTACAGACGTCTGTATACGTTCTTTTTGTTGGGTGCTTGTTCAGATACTTCGCCCAATTTCTGATGAGGTTGTCTTACTTTAAGTTGCAAGACTGTTTATCTATCTATCTATCTATCTGTCTGTCTAGGAATCAAATCCTTTGTTAGATATGTGTTCACAGTATGCATCTTTAGGTTTTCAGTCTGCTTCAAATAAAGTGATAACACTTCTCAAAAAATACTAGAAATGTCTTCTCCTCTCCTGACCCTTGTGCTACTATTGTCATTCATTTCATTACAACCTCAGGTATTATTTATACTTTCAACAGTTATCTTTTAAACCAGTTAAAAATAGAGAATATTTATGCACATATTTTTCCAGTTTTGTTGCTCTTCATTTCTCCAACTTTTTAAAGAGTTCTCAAACTTTCTGGTTTCAGGACTCCTTCACACTCTTAAAAATTATAGTGGACCTCAAACAATTAAAATTTTTTTTTACCATATTAGTAATTTAAAATGAGAAAATGGAAAAATATTTATTAATTCACTTAAAAGCTGTAGTAAACTCATTTCATGTTAACATAATGTATTTGTCATAAAAAATAAGTATTTTCCAAAAAGTAGTGGTTATTTTACAATCTGAGTTCTTCAAAATCTCACTTTCTAGAAAACATCTGGACTCTTACCTGCTTTTTTGCATTAATCTTTTTGCATGTTACGATATGTTGTTTTTATCGAAATACATGAAGAAAATCTGGCTTTACAATGTTTATATAGTTAAAAGAGGGGAGAGTATTTTCATAATTTTTTCAGATAATCACGCATATCTGTTTTTGATTCTACACCAAAACTTGACAAATGGTAGTTTTCCAAAGGTTAATTGCAGTGTAAAATTTGAAACTGTTACCAATTAACTTTTTCAAAAAAAATTAAGGTATAATTCACATGCTATAAAATTCATTACTTGAAGTGTGTGTAGTTCAGTGGTTTTTAGTATATTCATGACGTTGTGCAGCTGTTATCACTAACTCCAGAAATTTTTATCAGGCCCATTAAGAAACTGTACCTGTCAGCAGTCCCTCCCCATCCCGGCCCCCAGCCCTGGGCAGCCCCTGATCCGCTGTGCGCCTCTGGATCCGCCTCTTCTGGACATTCCGTGTGAATGGGGTCACACAGTAGGCGGCCTTTTGTTTCATACTACTTTCACTGAGTGGAGTGGCCTCTCGGTTCACCCACGTTGTGGCATTTATAAGCACCTCATTCTTTTCTGTGACGGAATCATCCTGTGTCGTATGGGTGTGCCACATCTTGCCTATCCGTTCCGTGGCTGGTGGGCATTTGTGTCATTTCCGCTTTTTGCCTATCGTGAATAAAGCTGCCGTGAACATTTGTGTACAAGGTTTCGTGTGGACATGTTTTTATTTTTCTTGGGTGTAAATCTAGGGATGGAATTGCTGGGTCATACGGAAACCATGCCTACCTTTCTGAAGAACTGTTAAACTTTTCCAAAGAGACTGCACCATTTCGCTTTTCTGCTGTCAGTATCTGAGATTTCCAGTTTCCCACATCCTTGCTGTCACTTGGTTTCTGGTTTTTTGATCCTAGCTCTTCTAGAGGGTGTGAAGTGAGCGGTGTCCTGTTGGGGCTCAGATCCCCATTTCCCTGATGATGAATGATGGCAGCCGCCTTACCAGTGCTTATTGGCCATTCGTAGATCTATTTTGGAGAGATGTCTTTTCAGTTCCTTTGCCCATTTTGAAATCTTTATGTCTTTTTATTGTTGTAAGAATTCTTTCATATGTTCTAGGTACTAGATCGGTGGCCTTTTGTACTGTTACATTGAGGTCCATTTGTCTTTCTTCCATGCTTCTGGCCCTTTCGCTCAGCTGTGACTTTGGAAGATGGTTCCACTTGCTTGTGTAGATCTTCCCAATGTTGCCCTGTTTCATAACACAGCATCAAAAAGTACATTTAGTATCACCACCACTGGACCAGAAAATCCTTTCCATAGTAGGAAGCTATCTAGCTTATGGCTGAAACAAATTTTCCAAAAGAAATTGCTTTATTTCCAATATTTTAGCATGAAAATTTTTGAATATGCAAAAAGTTGAAAGAATTATAGAGAGAGCATGCATACCTGCAACCTAGGTTTTACAGTTAGCATTTTAGGGTGCTTATTTTATTATCCACCCATCCATTGCCCATCCATCTATTCTAATTCATGTATTTTAAGATTTATGCATATTGATTTTTCATTTGTTTTCCTCTAAAAACTATTTTCTACCTTCTTGATTTGATTTATATGAATTCACTTATCTGTATTATTGTTTAATGCTAAAATATTCAGTTCTCTGCTTTTTCGTCCAGTTACGTTTTTGACCACATCCCTTTAAACATTGATGAATATTTTTTTCCATGGTATTTTTTATAATTGCAAATTCGATTTTATCTTTGAGTTAATAATTTCAGGAAAGAATACTTTAATTTCTAAGAAATCGAATTGTTTAAGGGGTGTACAGTTAAACTTTATGATTAAAGTTCATCTAGAGTTACTTTGTATGTTTAGGGAGAGTGAGCCTCCATTTAAGCTCTTTAGTGGGGAGTCCCAGTCAGAGTGTTTTATCAGTGGTGTTTGCTGTGTGACAGAGAAACTGTGCAACACAGATGTTCTGTGACATGGCTTCCTGATCCTTCATGAGGTAGAAAGCATTGCACTGGCATTTGGAGGCATGGCTTTGTTCTCTGTGTCAAGTCATAGATCATATGGAGTCCATGTATTTCTGCATATGTGTAATTGGCTAAGTAATACCTATGCCTAAGAGTCACCAGAGTTAAAACAAGTGAGGGGTTATCTGGGTGGAGAAGAAAAGGTGTGAATCCTAGTGTTGGAGAGCAACTGCCTCTTTAATGTATTTTTCTTCTACTTTAGGTAAATCTTAAAATGAGAGAGATAACAGAGAAAGAAGTTAAGTTAAAACAACAACTTTTGGAAAGTCCAGCTCATCAAAAGGTAAAGGTACTTTCACATCTCTGAAATGTGCCCAGCTAATGTTGCTCTCATGTAAAGGATTAGATGAGTATGTACCACTTTCCTGTTCTGTCACCAGGAAGAGAGTGCATCTCCTGGGTGCTCTGGTGGTACTGCAGACTCAGGCGAGGCATCAGCTTGCTCCCCAGTTTTCCCTGGTGTAGGGGGTTCTTGTGTTTGACTCATGAGGGGGAGGGAGATGTCGGAGGGATTGGGAAGCCCGAGGAAGGGATGTCAGGTTACTGGCAGTTCATGCCTGGTGCCTGGATTTCAGCAGCAAGAAAACTATCAACTGCCAGACGTGCCCCGAAACCCCACCCAGTGAGACCCCACGTAGCTGGACGTGTGTCTCTGAAACCCTGCACGTCTAATGACATGATGCAGTGGGGGCATTCCACAATCAGTCATTTCTGTCCTTTTCTTCCTGTTTTATCATAAGCATGTGTGTGACTGAATCCATGTCCCTAAAATGAGTGCGCCATGTGGTCTGGCCCTGTGCCCTCGCTCCTGGACTCTGAGGAGGCTGTGGGTGTGCCAGGCCACACTTTCGTTAGCCTCCTTGTTCCTCGGATGGGCACAGGCAACACGCTGAGACCAAGGTGAAGTTGGCATCTGTCCTTTTTGGTGCCCTGCCTGTACTGAGTCCCTGGAGTTGCCTTTGCTCCTGCAGAGGCTGATGTGGAAGTGCCCGTGACCTTCACTGCAGTCGCCTGATAGTACAGGGTGCCCAGGGTTGTGTGCGCAGGACAGAACCTCACTTCTCAGAGGACATGCCTCCTCTCGTGTACATGCTGTGTGAAAGCGTGGTCCCCACACGGACCTGCCCTGCTGACGCTCCTGTCCTGCCTTGTTCCCCTTGCTTCCCGGGCAGTCTCCCTCCAAGTGGTACTGGAAGTTAGTGCCTGTAAGTGAACTCTGCGAACCAGCCCCCATCCCGACAGCCATCCTGTTGCAATCACTTGCTTCCATTAAGAGTCGCTCACACCTGAACCTGTTCCTTTTTTCACATGTCTTCCCTGGTTTGTCATTGTCGCTTCACCTCATGCGGTAGGAGCGTAGCCTGAGTCTGGGCTGGGCTGGCTTTCCGATACGGCGCTTGGGACTTCCAAGCTGATTCATACGGCACAGGGCTTAGTTTTGCCCAGTGTCTTGGGTAGTTTTACAGTTCTGTGTTTCTTCTTTAGACACTTGGTTTTTTTTCTGTGTGGTGAGCATGAAGTAATGACAGGATCCATTTCCTTTCCAGTAAATACTAGAGGAATGATAATCTCATTTCCCAAGTGAGTCTTTGTATTCTGTTCCTTCTGACGTGACCTCCCCTAATGGGATATTTACCAGGACCTCTCTTAGTAAGTGTCACATGGATCGTCTGGGGGTAAAGGTGGTGTCCCTTGTGAGAGGCAGGGCAGGACTCCTCTCTCCATGGCCTTCTCCCCAGGGGCTGCAGCAGCCCCGGCTGCTGCCTGCACTGGGGGTGTCCCCTTGTTCCCAGGTGAAGGCCTGAGTTAAGTTGGCACGGTGTGCAGCATTTCTGGATCCAGGTTAGGACTAAGCGTGAGTCTTGCCATGAAAAGCAGTGGACAGTGGCGATTTGGTCCTGCGCCCGACTTGCTGACCTGTCTCAGGCAGAACCAGTTGGTTGCGCTGTGTTCTTCAGGGGAGTACCTGGTGCTCCACATGGTGCATTTTAAAAGAAGTTGAGGAACACAGATCTCTGCAGATTCCTCTAATTGCCCAGCTTTTAGTTTAATCATTTGAACCAGATCACCCTTAGGGCTCCAGCATAAAGGAGGTACCAGCTGGTAAACGGGATCCGTGGGAGCAGCGATCTGTTCTGTTTGTAGCTGACAGTTTTGCTTCTCTTTGAAATATATTAACAAAGGAAAAGAAATTCTTCTTATGAATATTTACATAACCTTTAACTTCTTGAATCCTGAAGGCCAAAAAGTTAGATGTTAAAGAAGTTGTATGATTTAATGAGGATATAGTCAGAAATTCAGCTGTCATGGGGAAGGAAGGTTTCAGATGAGAGTTTTATAGAAACAAACGTGTAACCAAGACCAGTACCTCCAGGTGTGCCTTTAGTGGTGGCCATGGCTGCTGGAGTGCAGCGTGCAGCAGATAGGCAGTGAGGTGAGTGGGTGTAGATGGTTGGGTTAGGTCGGGGGGCTCAGGACTTTCACTTTAATGCTCCACAGCTAGAGGTTTAACAACCCTGACTCAGTCTTTAGGGCAGTGTTTCCCCTGATTTTAAATGCACGCCATCCATCTTCAGACACCATTTGCCTCCTGCATGCTGTGGTGAGCCCCCCATGTGTGCTGTGCGTGTGTGGAGCCCGGCCTGGCGCCTGCCCTTTGTGCTGCATGCTGATGCCACGGAGCTGCCCCATGGGCCATGTGGGCGAGTGGCCTGTCCTGCCTGTGCTGTGGCCCAAGACACATGTTAGAGTCTGTGTCCACACAGATTTTAGTGACATGAATGAAGCCTTGTCATTCTTTTACTTTCAAAAGAATATGTTAGAAATGTCTTATACTGAATTTTAATATTGATGATTCTGCACTATATATTTTGATAACGACTTCAAATTCCAGATGGCTGAGAGGATTTTTCTTTGGGTTGAACTCACCTGTGTAACTCTCAGAGACACCCCTGCTCGCTGACAGAGACCGCTGGTTTTGTGGTCTAGCTTCTGTTGTGCACTTTCCTCCTCTGGAGAACGTGGGCTTGCAGGACAGGCCTTACTTCAAAGCTGTATTGTGCATGATCAGAACAAGCGAGCACGCTGCAGCAGGATGGCCGGGGCAGGCGCCTCTGCTGCCTGCTTTCCTTGGCGTCCTGTGTGTCTGCACCCAGGAAGGGAGCCCAGCTTGGGAGCAGCACCGGGGGTCTCGGGGCAGCTCTGAACACGGCATACGATCAGCTTCCTGATGCTTCGCTGCACTGGTTAGAGGGGCTGGTTGCTGTATTGTATGAAATTTTGACTGACCCATTCAGAGATTTCTTAAATTATATATTGATGCTGTTTTGTGTTTTTCTTAATGGCTGAGGTTAATGCTGATAGAAATTCTGAGAAAAGTTAACCGTAACTTGGGTCTTCCAAGACTTAGAACGTTTAACCACTTAACTTGTTCCTCATTCATTCATAGTACACTGGCTTCTGGTAGTGTAGACGTGCACTCTGCCTCCTTTCCTGTGTGCTGTGGCACCTTAGAGTGGCCTGGCCCTGGTGTCATTAGCAGCTAATTGCTGTCAGCCTGTGTCATGATGCCCGGTTCCCTGGATCTTGACATATATGTTCCAGGCAGAGTATGTAATGCAGACATTTTGAGCTTTTTCTGTGATTGCCATCGTTCTAACTGTTGTCTGGACATTGTGTCGGCTCTGGATCCAACCGTCTGCTGTAATGTAGGTGACTGTGGAGGTGCATCATGTGTAGACCATCTGCCTTTCATCAACTGCAGGTGCGCTATCGCCGAGAGCACCCATCCGCAAGGCAGCCGCCCCACTTCCCGCTGCTGGAGGACCTGATGCGAGACAGCAGGGATGGGGCTGCTCTCCTGGCTGTGGTCCACTACTACTGCCCGGAGCAGATGAAGCTGGATGGTGAGTGGGGCACGCCGCCTGGGGCAGCCCTCCGGGCCCAAGGGCGCATCATGAGGGCCCCGGCCACTGTCTAGAGACCATCAAGCAGCGCGCGGATCCCTTTATGCCAGCAGGAGCCTGAGGGTGATGTGCTCGGACTCAACCTGCCTCTATCTGGCGAAGAAATTGAAGTGGGCAGCGTGGTGAATATGTGTGACTGTACTTAAGTTTCAGAATTGTTAGGGTTTTGTCAGTCCTGCAACAATTGATTTAAGACATCTAGAACTTAGTTTGGGGATGGGAAAATGAGTGCAGAACCCAGTCTGTGTAGAGACCGTTTATGACTCCTCCATTCTTGGTGTTGGGATATGATGATGCCCGTGCGTCTGTCCAGGCACTCGCAGCCTGATGTTGGGGGAGGTGTGTATGCACGGCATGGTTGTCTGTGCAGGAGCTGTGAGGTCCCGGATTCTGGTCTGGGAGGTTTCTGAGGGAGGGAGGTCTGGGCAAGAGCATGCCCGGACTGCTGCCCCGCATGGAAAGCACTGGTGTAGACCTGGCACTTGGGCATTGAGTTCATGGTGGTTCTGCTCCTACTCTTAAGGACAGAAGTGCTGGATTTCATAGTTTTTATAGATCAAATAGTTTTAAAAATACATAGCCGAACTTGAAAGAAAGGGAGAGGCCGAGGTTCCAGGAGAGGGTCTCCGTATTTGAGTGAAAAACCCATGAGCTGATGCCTGGTTGCTCTGGGGCCTGTTGGGACAGACACTGTCTGTCCGTGGGGCTGTGTGTCTGGGAGCTGTAGCCAGGACCTCCCGGCTAGGAGAGGACAAGGCGGCTTGTCAGATGCCCTGGCCCTGGGGTTAGGGGTGGGGCAGAGCCCTTCTGTGAGGAAATGGTGCCACCAAGCTGCTTCGCTGATGGGAAGGGGTTGAAGTGTCAGTGCCCCTGTGGCACAGGGAATGTTCATGTAAGATTGAGTCTAGGACTAGTGAGGGTTGCGGGCCTTGGCAGGGTAACAGTAGAGTTTTCCTCTGGAAACACTTCCACAAGCCAGGGCACACCAGATGCCCACAGAAAGTGAGTGCCCCTCTGCTGGGAGATGAACTCGTGAGAAAGTAGGGCCCCGCAGAGAGCAGCCCTCCGCCGATACAGACTGGGCACTGAGACGTCGATGAGAAAGAGCATCTGGTGAAGGGCACAAGGAAGGGGTGGAGACCTAAGCAGGCCTAGCATGTGACACACTCTGGGGGTGTCCCTCACCCTTGGCTCCTCAGGGGCATCCCTTTCACTGTCTGGCCCTGTCTTCAGGGCTGCCTCTGGTTTGCTGATTCCGGTCTTGCTTCTTTTGTATGTAGCCTTTTTCTCGCCTGTTGCCTGGGACCTTAAGGCAGAAGAGAATTACCAGGGGAGGGCCATCATGAATGACAAAATAAAGGCCCTCAGGAGGAGGTGATGGTGCGGGAGCTCATTCTCTCCAAAAGCAGAGCATCAGAGTGCATTTCTTAAAGGTGACAGACTTAAGGAGAAATGAACAGAACCTCATGTAAGTTGAGTCACAGTGGAGCAGAGAAGAATAAGCAAGGCCATACAAGATCTGAATGCAGAACCGACAGGCCTGGTCCCATGCACCGAGCATCAGAAAACATATTCTTTTAAAATACGTGAGCTTGGAAGCAGTTACAAAAACTGGACTTGATTAAGGCCACAAAAAAAACTTCAACAGATTGCAAATATTGATACTTTCCCTTAGTTCAGTAAAACAAGAAGCCTGTAACAAAAAGACGCAGGCTCTTTCTCCAAACCTGTAAAATCTTTATGCTTAGAAACCAGAGAAGATATTCTTAAACACTTTGTGGATCAGAGTAGAGGTCATATTCTGGAAAACAAGGGATTCTTAAAATGAATGAGCCGGGCTGTTGTCCATGCATTAGAAAGGAACACGGAAAGGTGAGGAAGAGCGTGGGGAGTAGTTTCGGCCTGGCCTTCTCCTTGAGGCAGAAATCCCCCGACACCGGGAGAAGAGGCGCCGGGTTGAAGGCCCATCTTGGGGAGACTAGGGTGCCTGGGTTCCGGGCGGTCACGGAGTGGTGAGAGGGGCAGGAGGTCAAGTCAGAGAAGCAAGCCACCGACTCCTATGGAGCCCCAGAGAGGCGCCAAAACAGATACATGGCAAGGGGTGGGGGGGCAGTGGGGTTCTCCAAAAGCTGGTCTGAAGAGCAGTGCCAGTCCAGGCCTTCTTGGCCTCTGTCAGGCAGTGATGGCTCTTCCCACACGCTCAGGAGACGGGGGTGTGCTTGCGGGGGACCCCGAGCTACACAAGCTCTAGACCCCACGGAGGTGGCAGGGACAGGGTGACACACTGAGATCAAGGCTTTTACGTAAACTTCTTCATACTGAAGATGAGAACAGTCCTCCTCCCCATTTGCCCACCCCAGGAAACCGCCTCCCCTAACTTGGCTCCCAGCTGCCCATCTGCCTGCCTTAAAGGTGGGGCAGGCTTCTCCTCCACAGAAACTGGCCCAGGCAGAGAGCCACAGCCACTGCCACCGGGCACTCCTGGGGAGGCACGCACCACTGCCCGTTGTTCTGCTGCAGAGCCCACCTCCTGGTATGTCACTCAGGCTCTGAGCAGGCCAGAGTTCCACGGATGCTTGGGGAAAGCCACTGGCCTTAAGGAGAAGCCACGTCAGCAGAGACTGTCCTGGCGGGTGGACAGAGAATGTCAGAGAAGGGGAGGACGGTGGGTCGGTGGACGGAGAGCAGGTGTCGGAAGGGACATGGAGGTGAACGCATGGCAGCCACCATTTAAGAATTCACTAAAGGGCTAGCTGGCAGAGTGGAAGAAATCTACAGAGGGAGGTATAAAAAGCCAGAAGGAAAATGGGGAAAAGAGGTAGGAAAATGAGGGGTTCGCTAGGAAGACGTAACAGAGAACTTACCCACGAAGAGTACAGAGAATGCCCAACGATGTGTGTAGCCAAGTGGTAGCCCCTGTGGCCACAGCCGAGCATGCACAGTGCACTCCAGAGGGGAGAGCACCCCAGTCGCAGTCGCACAAGTGGGGGGCATCTGGACGACAGCGCAGTCGTGGCCCCATCCGCCCAGTGCCCGGAGAGTGGGTTCCCACAGGGCGGCCTACTTGTCCAGGGGAGGCTTGTTGGGAAGTGCTCCATTTGGGAAATGTGCAGTGCAGCCTTTCTGACCCCAAGCTCCCCGCACAGAGGCACAGGCTGGGAGAGGCAGGGGCAGGCCTGGTGCCAAGCCAAGGGGTGTTCAGAGTAACAAAGGACGGGAAGGACAGTGGGTATAAGTCCAGGAAATACAAAAATCATATAGGAGGTCTAAGCAGAGGCACGGCAAAACTCAGCTGTGGGCAGTGGCTATACGGTGTGCTGATGGGCTTACCTGGACATGAGCTGCATCCTGCCCTGGGACCCCAGCGGGGGCTGTGGAGGGTCTCGGAGGCCAGGCAAGGAGATGGGGCAGTGTCTCCGTAGGACATGAGTGTCAGGCCAGAGGCCGAGAGCTGCTGTTCTTCTTAAGCTTTTTTTTCATACTATGGCTTTTTAAAGATGTGTGTTGTGTCACAGGTAAACAAAATTTTTAGATAATTTCAAAAGAAAAAATTTTTAAACAAAATTTAGAAGCTTCAGAGAGAGACTGTATAAAAGTAAAAATCTTATGCCTTCGAAGGATTAATAGTCCTCTAGAAAGATTGATCAAGAAAGGATGGCAAAAATAGAGAATATAATAGCTAAGAGGATATAAATTCAGATTTAGTGGGCACTAAAGAATAATAAGGAAAATGCTAAGAGTATGGTCTATCATATTCATTTGAAATGTTAGATGAAGTTGACAATTTTCTGTTGAACCAAGAAGAGCTGGGAAACTTAAATAGACCCATAACTACAAAATAAATGGACTCTGTAGTCAAAAGTACTTCCACATAGACCAGGTTTTCTCCAGGGTGTATTAGCAGCTCTCAAGGAATTGACACTCCTACGTTCCATCAACTGTCCCAGAAAAGAGGGGAAGGTGGAACGCTGCTAGCTCTTTGGGAGGTGGCGTGTTCCTCACCCCAGGAGCAGAGCTTGACGGGGGTTGTGGACCTCTCCCTTGGTAATGCAGAGTGACAGTCTCACACAAAGTGCTGGCGCACCGGGGTCAAGCAGTCAAGTGCGTTCTGAACCATCATCTCATAGGCACGGAAAATGGTCTCTTGTGAATGGCCTCGCCGGCAGCTGGCCTGGCCTGAGCCGCGCAGGCTCTCTGTGCAGGCAGGCTTGCTGTGGTTCTGCCCGAGTGGGCTCGGGCGGCAGCTCTGCCCCACCTGAGGGCGGGCAGTGGGACGGGGCTGTGGGGCCGCCTTGCCCAGTCCCCCTGCCCGGCCTCCAGTGGCCGCTCAGCCTGGGAGTGCCGGCGCCTGGACGGCCCTGGAGGGCCGGAGGCCTGCACACACCCACACACGCCTCTGTTGCGCTTGGAAGGAGACAGACTATACTCTTAGGTGCCAAGACTCAGTAGTCAAGTTGTGGTTTTCCCAGGTGGTTGATGGGCTTACGGGCCAGCCTAATAAATAATTCCCTTTTACAGAGATTGACAAGTTAGTACAAAAACTCACATGGAAGAGTGAAGGCCAGAAGGCACAAAACCAGCATTTTGTAACATTTTATTTAGATATTTCAGAAGAGTGTACAAGGAATCACTGCATACTGCTGTCCAGATTCCCCGGCGCTGCATTTTGCCCCGTGTGTGTACTGTCTCTCTTGCTGAACCGCTGGAGGGCAGCCAGGAGAACAAAAGCCTTCTGTGAACACTGTGACCTTCAGGAAGAGGCAGCGGGACAGTCACAGATGCAGGGCCACCACTGGCCCTGCTCCGGTCCCAGTTGTGTCCTTCGTGGCCGCCGTCTCCCTGCCAGGTTCTAGCCAGCATTACTCACCGCGTGGGTGCCGTGTCTCTGCATTCCCATATTTAGAGCCATTTCCCAGCTTTCCTGTGTCCTTCTTGACCTTTTCAAGAAGGGTCCAGGTCACTTAGTTTGTTGAATGGCCCTGTTTGGGCTTCCCTAATGTTTCCTCCTGGTGAGATGCAGGGGATGCATTCTTAGCCAGAAGGCTGCAGAAGTGACGTCCACCCATGCATCCAGGTGGGGATGTGACGTCAGTACGCCGGTGTTAACACCAGCTTTGGCTCAGGCGGTCTTGTGTGAGGTCTGTCCACTCTGAGATAGCTGTTCCATGCTTTATAGTTAGTAAACTGGGCAGAGGCTTTGAGACTGTATAAACGTTCTGTT